AAAAAAAAAAAAAAAACGAGTTAATAATTAGCACTAAGAATACTTCAGAAGAAACATGATGTGATTGAGGTGTTTTTACTGCCAGGATTACAGGTTTTTCAACTCTTCTGCAATTCAATCAAGAAAGATTATGTGAAGTATAAATGAATGTGGTACTAACTTCAAGTATTTTTTAATGTATATTCGCAGTAACAGAAAGAAAACTAAAACATGTGACTCACCCACTCTAAGAACTAGTGATGTCATTTTCCCTAGAAGTGTTCCTTTTTCATTGTGCCTTAAATTTGAACTAAATTTATTAATATAAACTACATTAAGAAATGTTTCTCAAACTTTTCATGCTATTGAAAAGGCCTTTCATCTAACAAAGATTTCCGTAAGGCAAATCTCATTACAAAATCGGAAAGTAAATAATATAATATTGGAAAGCAGGCCCTGACCCAACTAATGTTTAGCTGATCAAGGATCAATTATTTTTAGCTGCGGTCAGCTTTAAGAAGCAGTATTTGTGACTTTTTATCTAAATTGTGTTCTTGATTTTAAAATGTTGCCATCTACACATAAAGCACTCGCTGTTAGCAGCATTTTAAGACCATCAAAAAATAGATGGGACATAACAATATGTTAGATGCTAATGATAATTAATACCCTGTATTTTCTTAGTAAAGCTCAGCGATTTCCCCTGAATGCATAACCTTGTACTGTTAACATCTAAAGATAATCTGAGGGTAGAATTTCATGAGACAAACACACTTGCATTTCCTCCCTGTGCCGACAGGGGTGTTACCGCCCAGCCGGCTCCTCCCTAGTGCCGGTCGGGCTTTGGCCGCGCTTGCCCCCATCTGGGAAGTTGCTGTAGAAAAGGGTGAGCACGGAAAAAAAAATTGATAGGGCCTGGGAAGAAATGAATGGGGATGGGAGGTTTGTAGGATGAGCGTGCTAACTCCGGGCTGCTGCTCGCCGTCCCGCGGCCTGCCTGCATGAGGAGGCTGAGGGGAGACCTCCTGGCCCTCTGCAGCTCCCTGCCAGGAGGGGGCAGAGAGGGGGGATGAGTCTCTGGAGCCAAGGCCCCAGCGCCAGGCCCCGAGGGAATGGCCTCAAGCTGCCCAGGGCAGAGTCAGGCTGGCTCTGAGGAAGGATTTCTGTGCAGAAGGGGCTGTTGGGCGTTGGAATGGGCTGCCCAGGGCAGGGGGGGAGTCCCCGGGATCCCTGGAGGGGTTGAAGAGTCGGGCTGAGCCAGCGCTGAGGGGTCTGGGGGAGTTGGGAAGGGTCAGGGGGAGGGTCATGGTTGGGCTGGAGGAGCTGCAAGGGCTTTTCCAACCTTGATGATTCTCTGATTCTGTGGTAGTAGCATCTGCAGGTCCTTTTGCCCCTTGTGCTTTATGAGAATTGCTACTGTGAGGATGGTAGAAGGCAGTTGTGTTCTTTCTTAAGAGTTGTACATGAGGTTATTCCTTTTCTTTTTAAACTTGGTGGTCTGCAGCTTACAAAAAAAATAATATTTACTAAGTTTGCTATTGAATTGCTCACATAGCTCCTCTGCCAGCTGTTTGCTGCCTACGGTGGCACGGTGCCAGGAACGGGCTGCAGGCTTCTGCCGGTAGTGTGGCATTGATGGAGCCCCCATCTTCACACCCCACTGCCTTTGGAGGGAGGGAGATCCTCTGCAGGAGGGTCCGGCATGCTCTTACACAGAGCTTTCAGCTGGGAGCCATCAGGTGAGCAGGGGCAGGCTGTAATCAGCCAGCACAACCCTGACCTTTCCCCAGGCTAAATTACCCTTGGAGGGCATTTTGTAACCAGAAAATCTGGATGTTTACAAAGTGAGGTGTGTTTGATAAATACATGCTGGTTTTAATCCAAAAGAAAAACACTGAGAATATTTCACTTTTTATCTTACCCACCTCACTAGCGGCAGAAAAAAAAAAAAAATCAGTCTTAGCAGTGGTGACTTCTGGGTGCCTATTAGGTTTTTTTTAATAAATTGTCCTGACAAGTTTATCAATGCCAGAAAAGAGTTTATTTCTTCCACAAAGAAAACATGGCATCCTAGGTTGACAGTAGAGAGAATTTGCATAACTTCCCCACGCTAAAGCAACCCTACATTTGAAAATATTCCTGAATCTTGTCATATCTTCTAACCAAATTACTCAAACCTTGGATGTCAGGGAGCAGCACTGCTTATGCATTTGGAGAACAGTGCCCTCAGAGAAAACTCTCTCAGTGTGTAGTCAGCTTGATGCAGCGAGGGTTGGGAGTAGAACAGATGATACTGTGCTCTTTATAAATACACATACAGTTAGGCTCAATTTGCTAATATATTTATGTCTCTTATTAGCCTAATTCTGCCAAGGAATTGTGCCCTACATCTGCTGCCAAAGTTGAATGTATAAAGCATCAAAAGGTCGTGCCTTAGGTGCTAAATTGCAAAACACATTTCACAGTCATGTCTGTTCAACGAATACATGGTTGTACTGTGCCAAGTTGCTTAAATCCAGAAGCAGTCATTATATAGGAGCTATTGAAACCCCTTTATTTCTAGTTAAAGTTATGATTTTTTTTTTGTGAAACACCTAAGATTTTAACGCTGACAATAAGCAATGACCCACCTGTTTTGAGTGTTAATACTCGGTCCCAGTTCATTTCTAGTGTAAGGAAAAAAATGCATAATTTTGTTTGCTGTATACTCAACAGGTCTTATATAGCCTGATTGGATGTGGCCAAGGATTTGCAAGCAGTGAGACTGATGGGATTTTCCTGGGTAACCTTAAAATGCAGGTTTAAGCCACCTGTTGGTTTTTTTTAACTTTGGTATTTCATTAGCGTGGTAGAACGTTTATCAGTTTGCTGAAGTCATGCTAATGATGCCTTCCAATTCTTTAGCCACAAAATCAAGATACTTGGAGCTGCATTCTTTTCATCTTTCATAGACTGAATTCTCACTTCACTCAAGAGCAGCCTTTTACCTGCCTTTAAATACTGTTTTTCTCAAGGACACTTCCAATTGTTTTAGATTCATCCAGCCATACATTTTTCAAAGGAAGCAGAAAAAAGTAGAAAGGACAGAACTTGTCTGAAGGATTAAATAGCACATATCATATGAGGAAAATACACATCTGAGAAACTAAAGAAAAGGCAGCCAAGCTCAAGTGCTGCATCTTGCCACGTGGAGCTAGAGCCATACTGCCCTGAGAGGTGATTTCAGAAGCCAGGCATCCAGCCTCACTCCCAGGAAAACAGTGAACTTGTACCCAAGTAAACACTGCAGATTCGTGTCTGAAATGCAGAATTTCAGAAACAAACAACTCTCCTTTTCTTGCTTGAAAGAAAAGGCTTGCTTGCACTTGGATTCTGCAAGGCCCAAATAAAGGAAAAAAAAAAAAAGGTTTATCTGCTCAAATACAGACATAATAAGGAATGTACAGATGCTACATGTAGATGTATTTTTTAATACTGGTATGGGCTGCTTCTGATCTTAGAAAATTATGAGTATGAAGTAACTCCAACTGTAATCTAGTTATTCAACGAGAGAGAGAGAGGGACTTCAAACCCCTGCCTCATGTAAGGTTTATATAGAATCAGTGTAGTCCCATGACTCTCTTTCCTCCTTTATTTTGGCACTTACAATCAAGACACAGAAAACATCCACTTTTCTTCTTTAACTGCTATCATGTTGGAATTTTAAATTGTTCCCATTGTGCACAGTGGCAGCTATTATTGTAGATCTTGAAGCAGTTGCTCTCAGTTAGATGATGTATTTCCTGCAACTTGAAAAAGGAAAGCAGAAGCTTAATGTGTACTATTGAGTTACCTGTAGACACCTAGAAGATTCCACATGACAGTAAGCAAAATATGGAAAACAGAAGACATGAAATGTTCACATTTTACAATAATTTGCCCTGCAGAAAAGAAGAAAATCTTGACCTACTTGAGGAAAGAGGGTTATTATATTCGTTTTACTTATCCAGAAAATACAATTTGACATCTAAGTAAACCATAAAGTTATAAGAAGGAACAAGTTAAGTCATGCCAGTTGTTAGGAGTAATTCTGCAGCTCTGTCTCTTGCAGAAATGCTCATTGAAGTCATCGGGAATTAAGCATGTGAAGAGACTGAGGAATTGCATCCCAGTTCTTGTGGTTATTTAGAGGTAGAGCCAATACAAGGGAATTACAGTCTTGGCCTCCTAAATCGTTTCAGATGCACAAGCTCAGTGTGTGCCAGGGATTAACGCGCTGCAGGACCCTTTCTTGAGTGTAACACTGTCCTGGGCCTGCTGCAGCAAGTGTCCAGAGTGCCTCCATAGCTGATGTTTTGGCATGTGGCACCAGCATTCAATTCTTCAATGACATGGTAGTTTCTTATGTGGCTCAGGAGAAGAGTTCCTCACCTCAGGGTGAGAACCAGAGCAGTCAGCAGGTTGGATATGGAGTTCATCCAAGTCATGAGGCTCAAGGTGCAAGTTCATAATTAGCTAAGATCAATACAAGCCTACAGGGCAGACAGACAGTCCCACCTCTCTTCCCATCTCTAGGAAAGCCACAAAGGTAGTCTTCACCCTTTCTTGGTGAAACTGTGCTGCCATTCAGAAAAAAAAAAAAAAAAAAAAAAAAAAAAAAAAAAAAAATTACACTTCTCGGAGCCATTTTAAGGCAAAGCCAATGGTTAGCATATTGCCCTGAAGAACTCAGCCTCCAGTCCCAGTCTGACAGCTATCTAAGTGCTTCATACCAAGGAGTTTTCTGAGAAGAGCATCACGTACTCCGCAGCCCAACCTTGCAGATGTTTCTGTCATCTGAACAAGGTCTGGCATGACAATGCTACACAGCGATGGGATTCTTGTGTAGGTGTGAACGTGGGGACACAGCCTGGGTAACGTTTCTTGGTTTACCTGCTGTTGGAAAACATCTGGTGTAATACCAAACCTCCCCAGGGGTAAGACTTTTCTATGGCAGATGTCTCCTGCTTGAAAACATACATCTGGAAAAGACCCAAGAAGAAGATGAAGGTGCTTTATTACTATGGTGATAAGACACCAGTATTTTACAGTGCAGTGCATCAGAACATGGGAGCAACAAACTGTAATGCATGCAAAGCATATCTGCCTCTCAAGTTCAGTTAGAGATTTCATTTTTAGCTCCTATCTTTTAAGATGGTTTGGCAGAGCCTAGCACAACCCCCACAAAATAATGCTGTTTTATTGGATCGATCCTAGTTAACCCAGCTTAAAGCACCACAAACAACCCCTAGAGATGATACTCCTATTGCAATATAAACCTTGAGCTATAGTTAATACTTATTCTCCCTGATTTGGATGTTGGCTTATTTTACAAAAATATCATACAAATTATATTCTGTTTGCTAGGTGACATTGTGGCTAACTGAATTATAGAATCAAAATAGTTTAAGTTACTGTCTTCTGGTAGGCATTGTTTCCAGTGTTTGAACTTACATTTGGTTATTTTCCTTTGCAGCTTATCGATGCCTATGTCAAGAGCCTTCCACAAGTGCAATGAGGCATTTTATTTGTATGTGAAACCTAGATTTAAAGGTGAATTATAAGCTCTTCTATTTCTTGAGCTTGTAGTTAATTAAATGCAAAATGAAAATTTTGCACATACATTTCTGGTGAGCATCACATTCCTTGCACATCACACTAAGAAGACACAAAGGGGAGAGAGGATGGGAAAACCAACTTTTTCAGATGTATCAAGACAGATTAAAAGAGCTGTGTGTCTTCAGCTCACTGGTGACTAGTTTTAGATTTTTCTCTAGTTCTGAAAGTAGTGTGCCTGAAATTCCAGCAGCAACATGATCCAAGTGTGAGATCCATGAGAGCAGATAGTGGGCAGGAGTCTGAGAATCCACAGGACCCTGATAAATGACATTTTCTAGCATAAGAATCAGAAATGGTAAAATAAAATCCAAAGAAAATCAGAGTGGGACTAAGTCAGTTTGAATTTCAGGCTTTCAAGTGCCTCCTATGTGAGCTTGCTTCTTCCTTGTACAAATGCATTTTGATTGAATCCTGCAGACCTTCCTCTCTAACTTCCATTCTTCCTTCCTGGATGTTATTGGGACAGTGATTTTTGGAAAAGACAACTACTTTACCTTCTCTCCAGACTTAAAAATCTGACCCAGATGGCAGCTGTAACTGTCATGAGAGCACGCAGAAGATGAACATAAATACGTCTAACTGTGTAATAGGAATAAATACCTTGTCAATTTGGTTAATCTCAGGATTGAGCACTAAACATCTGGATACACTCTATGTCAAGGGCTGGGAAACTCCTCTCAAAATTCTGTCAGGGCACATCCCTGCCGGCCCCACTGTTCAAATGTTTGACATTGCTGCAACAAAGATTGCTAATCTTGCTAAATGATGAGCACTCACCTGCTCGGGGCTACTGTAGTCTGAAAATGAAGGATTTACATAATGCCTTGGCCAAGTCAGACTTTAACTTGGCATCACTGCGGTAAAAGATTAGTGAGGTAACCTATTGCATCACCTGCCACTTGCCGTTACCTTGGGCTGACATGCTGTCAGCTCCTGAACTTCCCCATTCAGTACTTTAAACTAGCCTTAGATTTTCTAGAATACCAGATAATTCAGAAAATTACAAGCTTTCTTGATACGTGTTAGGACAAAAAAACTTTGCTTTAAAGTCTATTGTTTTAAAACAATTTCTTTCATAATAATTGTTTTCAAAAATCCCACAACTTGACGTATCAGAAATATGGAGAGCATATTGCCAAAGGGAAGTAAGATCTTCAGAAAGCAGGAAGATCTTGACAGAAATTACTTAAACTATCATATGGCTGTTCCTTAGAAGGGACAAATAAAGTAGGAAAATATTTAATCCATTCTTTGCTCTCTGTGGCTTGTTTATCATTTTTTCAAACTAATGCCCTTTTGTAGGAATTGCAGTGAAGTGTAACATTTCCGGAATGCACGGATACCTGTGACTTTCAGTGGGATTAGTGGAAGGGACTGAATGATAAGAAGAGCCATCAGTCTAATGGCTACCCACAAACACTAAACAAGAGGTGTCAGCGCAGGTATTGGATGTTGGGACACCATCCCAGAACTGACCTAACCTGAGAGGACAAGGTTTCAACTCAGCTGACTCTTAATTTGTTATGTTGGATGCTTAAAAGATCCACAGACACAAGACCTGACATCCTTTAAGGTTCCCGTTTTGCAAAGTCTCTGTAGCTCTGTATATTCTTTCCTTTTTTTTTTTTAAAAAAAAAAAAAAAAAAGGAAAGAATATACAGAGCTACAGAGACTTTGCAAAACGGGAACCTTAGCAGTAAAATAGCTTCTGTGATCAAAGGTACCATAACAAATCAGCATGTGTAGAAAGGAGTAAATTTTTTTTATTTGTATTGATCTCCTACATAGATCTGGTGTCTTTGAATGTATTTTCAGTATGTCAGAGGCTGCTCGGTGACAAAGCACCAATCTTGACTACTGCTGAAATCCCTCTGCAGTGTTACAACGTGCCTAAGCCCCACGGGATGCCACATTTTTAATTACAGTTTTCATGTGGCATTACAGAGGACACAGAAAATGAGATGATCAGCTTGAGAAAGAAGCTAGCCTGGGAACTCTTCAGTGTTAGAATGGGAAAATGTAAGATAAATTGAGTTTAATATTTGTGCTACAGTAGTGAGCTAAAGTAGTGTTCCTACAGGCTACGTGAATCACAGCAACCACAAACCAGCTCCTGTGAATAAAACAGCCAAGATGCCAACAAAGAGGCTAAAGCAAACCTGTAACATGCAGCTCATAAATTACTTGCACGCATCATTATCTTCCCAGAAACTTTTACTGAGAACACTACCAGAAATAGGGCTTGGAACATGAGTTTTCCGTGTCAAGAAAGCGCTGTAAAGATCTGTTTAAGGTGACTTCAGCTGATGTGGGGTCGTACTGGAAAACAAAAAATGTGTTCAGGTCTAGTGATGCAAGAACGCCATTATCAATTTTTCTTCAGGAGAATCTCACCCACCAAATATTTTGCTAGACGTCTAGTCTGCCTGTGAGTTGTAAAGCTGCTGAAAATCAGACTTTGATCTCATTCGTAACCTGTATACAGGACCAAAGCGACGCTTCTCAATCATTCCTGAGTCACCTGACCGCTTAGTGGGCTGATAAGGCATTTAATAGATCAGCTGTTCTTTTTTTGTGAAGCCTTTGATAAACACGTGGGTGCCTTGACTTTCATTGCTTCTCTGGAGGTGGTATGAACTGGCAGACTGCCAAAGATAGTATCTGTGGTGTTTTATGAAATGAGGTGGACAATAAAAAGGGCCTGGCTGTTGGACTGAGCATACCAAGACAAGTTTTGCACGTACCCGTTGTTGTACGATGTGTCACAGGAAATGATGTGGGATTAGATACCCACATTTTTAAAAGGGACTCAACCTCCTTCATGCATATCCTACAGAAAACCTGCTGGCTGGAATCCCGCCTGCAATAACTGATTTTGCAATGTTTGGTACGTTTCCTACTACAGATCTCCCTAGTTGACACCTTTGGTAGTAAGAGGAGTTAGTTTAGTCCAGCGACAGCTGTCTGGAGCCTGCGAGGCAGCTGAGAAAGGGAATAGCCACAGCAAACCTCTGTGTTTGCTTCCACTGTGCATCAGCCACTCCACACAACACGGGTGCATTTTTCTGGGTGTGGATGGCCAAGAGGACATCTGCCAGAAGACATTGCTACCTATCGCTCACTGTAAACTCAACCTGTGCTGCCATCAGGAGGTGGGACTTGCATGTTCCACAGTGACAACAAAAATCAGTGTCATTCTGAAAGAACTGTTCTGCCAGAAGCAGGGAGCAGCAGAAGGCTTCTGAGCTCTCTCTCTCCTGCTCCTCCTCCGGGGTCATCCCTGGCGTTCTCTACGTGGTCCTACTTGACCTCACTAAGGAAAAATGCACAGGTGGAAACCGGGGGATTCCATCCTCCGCTCAGGAACCTGTGTGTAGGTAGCACATGGCTTATTACAGATGTTCTAGCAAATAATAATGAGAGAGAGAGTGAGACAGAGATCGCTAGGAAGGAAACTTTAGAGAGGCTGTGGCTGCGCTCTCCCTGGCAGGGTTCAAGGCCAGGTTGGACAGGGTTTTGGGCAACCTGGGCTAGTGGAAGGTGGCCCTGCCCATGGCAGGGGATTGGAACTGGGTGGTCTTTAAGGTCCCTTCCAACTCAAACCCTTCTGTGATGATTCTGTGATTATACAACAAATCATACTGGTTTTCTTCATGAAAAATGCTTGGTCACTGACATTTTAATAAATATGCTTTATCTTTTGTTCCTTAATGTATTTAATTGTTCAGTGTATTCTTCAGACTTTGCAAACCCAACTGTACAAGTTGTTTCAGGTTTTTTCTTAAATACAGATCTGAAAGTCTAGTTAAATTGACATTTCTAACATTTCCCTAACTGTGATGTTACGGTGTTCCCCGCATGTACTCCTTTCATTATCAGGTTAAATGGAATTGATTTCCAAAGCGCTTTTGTGGTTCTTGGACCACTGATACTGCCCGTGCAGAGAGAAGCTACGAAACAGGAATTAAGTTTTTTGTCCAGAGATGAACACTGTGTGAGGCAAGAGCTTTCCTTTTCTGCAGCTGAAGCACAGCACACGCTTTCTTGCTGTCCTGTGAAGCACTTGCCGCTGCTGGAGGTGAGATTTGAGCCCTGTGCCCTCACTGCCATGTTGCGTTCTGGAGTAGAAACAAAGGGAGTACAAGCAAAGCTCTACCTAGGGTTGCACAACCCCAAAGGCACCAGTTTGGGATGTCCGAAACCCAGCTGTTGTTGGGTTTCAGGGGGAACAAGGGAGGCTACTAATTTTCCTGTTCTCTCTAGAGCATGTGAATTCAAAACTCTTTTAATTTAATATAGATGCATTTTTTTGCTTTTTACGCTTAGTTGCGATTCCTGTTAACGTCTATATTTAGCTGTGAGTAAAGTCAATTTTTGTCCGTGCTTGAAGATATTGCACAAATCGGTATTCAGAATTGTTAGAGATAATGGATACTCAGTGGGGCATTTCCAAAAGTGTTACCAGTGCGAATAGCATCATCTGGGCAACGCGGTGTTTGATGGCAATTGCTATTTCCAGGGCTGCTTTGAATTACAGCTGTAATATGTGGCCAGTCACCCCATCCCAACTAGAAGCCAAAGAGATCCCCCATCCCAGCAGCTGCCCCCTCAACAAAGCAGGAGGGGAAGGGTCTGTCCAAAGGGTTTGGAAATGTTTAGCCAGAAAATCTTTGGTGGCCTGGGCTCAGTGCTGCAAAATCTGCGTTCCCATTGCTGTACATCAGCCTTCTGAGGCTGTGCGGAGGGGTGAGTCATGCAAGGTGGGAACTGTGACCCATATCTGCTCTGGAATTAACTGCAAAACATTTTTGTGAATCTGGGCAGTAAAAGTGACTAAACAGAGTGGTGGGGAAAAAGGGGCTGGCATTTCTTGCCCAGGAATCAAGTATTCAGGTTTCCTGTAAAGCTAACGTAGTCTTGCCAAAGGCAAAGCCGCCGGCAAACCACAGAGCCTCAAAAAGGTTTGTGAACAGCAAAACCACATCTCAAAGAAGAAGACAATTCATATGATTTGCATTATTTTGATTTGTAACGTTCCCTAGGGTTTTCTACAATTTACACTCCTTAAGGAAAAGAACTAAGAATATGACAAGTGAGAGGAATAGTCTTTTCCACCCAAGATTTCAGTACACTGCAGGTGACCAACTGTTTCCTGCTCTGGGAACAACTTAAGAGCAACAGCCAAATGAAATCCCAGTACTGGCTTTTGCACACGCAGTGATGACAGTTGCAAGTCGGAGGCCACAAACGGGTCTGTAGGACTTAGGTCTGGTCAGTCCTAACTCGAGGCAGGGAAAACGGACCAGACGAGCCTCCTAAAACACCCCTCTCTCCCTGCAAGGCTTGAGCTGTAAGTGAGCGCCGGGAGCGGACAGCCGGCTCGTGAGCAGCTTTGCATCCCCATGGATCAGACACCCGGCCCTGCTGGTTCAGCCAGAGAACAAGGCATTCTGTAACTCTAACTGAAGTCAAATTAGAGTTAAAAAGTTACTTTAATCAACCTGCAAGTAAGTACATTCCTACAGGAGTTAGGACTTCCAGAACTGTGACCCCAGGCGAACCTCGTGTTTTGTTAATAGCTCTGCAAATAATCGAGGCGACACCGAGTATCTCCGGCGTGGAAAGACAACTTCAAGGCCATTTCAGTTTGCCTGCCCGCCGGCCTGGCAGGGCACAGGCAGCAGCTGTTCCCCAAGCCCAGCCTTGCCCGTTGCACACCTCTGCTCCCTGCAAGGCTGGAAGTCAGGAAGCTGATTTCTGCAAGAGAGGGGTGTCCTGGGAAGCCCCTCCTCACAGGAGATGTTGGGGTACCACCCACAGACACCTCGAGATCCGCACCCAGACGGGGAGCAGTCCACAAAGCAAACACTGCTGTGCCCATACAATTAAAACCAATTAAACACGGAATAATTTAAAAAAACTTTTTATTTAGACAAACACGAGAAGAGCTAGATAGGATTTATGAGCTAAGTTTTTTGGTTGGAGAGCCAATGCATACTTTAAAGCATCGTAAGAGACCGAGAGGATGCAGTCTTGAACAGTGTGTTGTAGTAAATTTGTAAAACTGCATGAGACAGATTTTTTTTTTAACCCAATTACTTCCCATCCGTTCAGGGACAGATAAGCCCCCAGCTAAAATTCCTTTTCATTCCGGTGCTTGTAACGATGAAGATGAAATGTGATTTTCCTTTCTAACAAATGCTCCAAAAAGCAAAAAAGAAAAAGGATGTTTTTCTCTGTTATGGAAAATAGGTCTCGGCATGCTGGAAATTCTGTGTTTTACTTACTTTCTACCACAAACGCCCCATTTTTAAAGAAATGAATAATGTAATCATTTTCTCCGATTTACGTTTTCTTTTCTGCCTCATTTGGCACTAACGCTGTATTACAAGAACAACTGTTCTCTGCAAAAAGAATGATCTTTCGACATCTCATCCAAAACCTCTGAAGTCACTGGGAATGAACTGAAAGGCAAGGCAGAGAGGCTGCATACATTAGCAGCAACTGAACACTCTCCCACTGACCGGGCTGATTTTCTACTCCTCGCCAAATGACACAGAGCTGCAGTTCCCTACATCACCTCAGACAAAAAGAAAAACTCTCTTC